GGGTTTCAAAGGCTTATTTAATCGACTTTGAACACAGTCTACTAATATGTAGCAAATACATTTTTTTTTCTCCCCGACGAATAGTGCTTTTTCTCCCCGACTGGGGTGGGGGAGCTCTCCCCGACGGGGGATTCCTCCCTCCCCCCAACTTCGCTGGCGCTCTTCCCCTTTGGTTCACCTGATGAGCTAGCGAACACTAGCGAAAACATGTCTCAATAAATTTTGTAGGTGCTATTGTACTTATTTCATTTGTATTTCATGCTATTGACTCCAATCTTTATTCCATTAGATTTGCTTACACTCATTTGGAGGGTTGAAGAGATTCCAAATGGGGCTCTAGAAGGGGGCGTTTATTGGAGTGGGCGTTTATTCAAAGCGGGGCGTTCATCGGTAATTTAAAATTCATGTTGTTCTTAGAATTATGAACCCACCAGTGTAATAAATTTTGTTCACAGACTATACCGATACCCACTGGCTTCAAGTAACTCGGCCCTTTAACCGACTCGGACCATAAAGACTCGGCCCTTCACCAAATCGGCCGATGAACCAACTAGGCCCTTGTCAACTCGGCCCTTAACCGACTCGGCCCATAACCAACTCGGTTAATTAAAACATTTATACAAACCAAGTGTCAGTTATTTCATTTGAAACCAGTGTCAGTATAATCTTAGGTACGTAAGCAGATGGTTAACATACGCAAGAATTTAGTCCAATGAAACTGTTTATCATCTTGATACCTTCCGACGAAACCACGGCGTCCCCACTGATCGATCTAACGTGACGTTGTTATGTGGGTGTTTTATAGCTTATTGAGAATGGTACCGGTAATATCACCGAAAAAATAGATAAAATGACATTTGAATGACCAACAAAAACAACTGAGGACGATAGTTCGTCATTAGAAGTTATTTAGTATAATTTTATTCGGAAAATTAATCTCAAAATCGAATTGCCGTCCCCGGCGTTGTCAGTGACGGTTTGTATCAATGCTGTCTCTTATACACATCTAGATGTGTATAAGAGACAGATATATATTGTGTGAAAATATATGTGCCATGTGTGAAGATACATGCATTAACATTTTAGGTACATGTGCATATCCATTCATGCACCATATTATGATGATACTCTGTGTGGCATTATGATAATATCTTACCCCCTTTCTCCTTCTTAACATCACTTTGTTTTTTGACTGGTTGGGGTTCTGTGACTGCTTGGTATTTATCCTGACACTCTGTAGCTGTCTTGGTTCCAACCATCATGGCAATCTTGTGCCAAAAATCTGCAGCGGTTGGAGGCAATAATTTCATTGCTCTAAATTTGAAAATAAGAAAAGGAACAATACAGTGGTGGAATAAAATACACCGATGGTAGCCTCAGTGGAAGGTCGGGAAAAATTTCCCCCTTCAGACAAGCTTGGACCCCAGTTGTTTAATGCTACGACAAGGTCACTGGACCAAAACTATTAGTTTGCCTATTCAGATGATATTATTTTGATTGCCAATCCCCAATATTGTGGTGTAAAAGCACAATTTTGGGCCATACTACAGTAAGCCATAAAAACTCTCCCTATCAAACCTTACCAAGGATGGACTAAAGGTTCTAATAGGTCCCTTGGGTTTTACCCCTTGTCGGACCCTGATTGGCAATTTCTGCAGCCACCCCTGAACAGCAGAAGAATTTATTTATTTATTGAGGTATAAAGTGGTAGCACAAGTTAAAATATAAAGCAGGATCACCATAGAGAAAAACATGAGCAAAATGACATACCTGTACCTTACTGAAAAAAGAATTGCAAGTAAATTAAGAATACAGTAATTTAATATTAGAATATTCAAATACTAAAATGTGGATACAAAACTACACAATAAAATGCGGAAGTTAGTTAAGTAAGTGGAGAAGGGTGTTAAGAGGAGGGGGATATAAACGAAACAATTCTTTGACCTACTTTTGAAGTTTATTGATTTCCTTTGGTTGCCAAACAGCTTTATAATCCTCCGCAATTGATAATCTGTTACTAACACTTGCTTGCTTCTTATTACAATATCCTCCTGTGTGTTGAGTTTTTGCTGGAGAATTTTTCAGGAGTGCTTGCTTTTGTGGAGAGAATTTCTTTTTCTCTTTTGTGTTCCGTAGCTGATCAAGATCACTTTGTTCATCGTGTGCTTCCTGTTCGTTTGTGATTTTGTCGTTCATGTTTTCATCAAGCTTTTTGGTTTTTCCATGACTAGACTTTCGCCGTGGCCTACTCTTTGGGGTGTCAGAACTGGAAGGTTTACCAGATTTACCACTGCTTTTCACCAAGTTGGCAACGGTTGAATTACTGCATGTTGGCATAAAGTGTACATGTAAGTCATTTGATTTAAACATTTTACTCCTCTTAATATGATTCGTTTCTACAGGGATTATAGAGTTGTTGGCCCTACTGCCTTTTGGTGTTTCAAATTCACCAGATGATTTCAATGGTTTGTTAGCATTAGGTGTTTTAAATGTGTCTCTCTGACCAGCGGTTTCTGATGCCAGTTTAGATTTTCTTTGTTTGCGTGACTGGGGTTTTGAAATTGCGTTGATATCTTCCACCCTGGTTTCTGAAGTCTCTTCCGCATTGTTTTTCAACCTTTTTGATCTCCGTAGGTTATTAGATTGAAGTTTTGTAACGGTGTCGCTATCAGAAGCCGGGGATGAGACTTTAACATTAGTAGATGTTGATGGTGTTTCCGAAACACTTGACAACTCCTTTGTTGTTTTCTTTGAATTTTTAATGTTTTTGTAAGCTTCTATTCCTTTCTAGAAAAAAAATTAGGTTTGTTATATGTACTGTAGAATAAAATTTTACATAAGACCTAGATTATTATAAAGATATGCAAAGCAAATATCAATAATATTACCATAGTTCATATTGTATAAGCCCACGCCTCCTTCAACACAAAATTAGGCCGATTTTGTGGGGTGGGCTCATACCCAGGGAATCCCATTTTCAATCAAAAGGCAATTTTTCATCACTGCATGCCTAATTCAAAGCCAATATTAGATTTTTTAGAACACATATAAAAGTCAGCTTAAAGATGTATTGTCCATTGCTAATGTCAAAAAATCATAAAAAATAATTTTGAAATAAACTTGCTCATATTGCAAAGGCATACAAATTATTGAATTTAAAACCAAAAAATTATAATAAAAATAAAAAAACACTTCCAGTGACTGGAAGTGTTTCTATCATTTTTTGCTGTAAATTGATGGGTAGACATTTTTAAATACACTCATTTCTATGTTCAAGTTGATAACTTTATGTTACTTCAAAATGGGTAAATTAATTTTTAAAGATATTTTTATGATTTTTTTGGTATTTAGCATGGAAAAATACATCTTTAAGCTACTCCTTCAAATTATACCCTAGGCTGTTGCCCGTGGAAAGGCTTCTAGTAAAATTGGGCATAAAGTAGGAGGTGAGCTAATACACTACATGGGATTATACATTATGTGGGCTTATACCCAAGCAACTACGATAATATTCATTAAACAGCTTTAATTAACGGTTGTGTGTTGCATCACATTAAGAGGATGTACAGTTCACCTATGTTTTCAATGGAAAAGATGGAATGAATACAAATACATGAGCAGTGGCATAACAACTAGTCATGGGACCCGTGGGCAAGGGGGGGGGGGGGGGGGGGGGGTGGGGGGGGGGGGGGGGGGGGGGGGGGGGGGAAGGTATTTTTGCTCAAGAAGACTTCGAGGGATGGGTAATCTCCCTACTTAATTTTCTACCTGATCAAAGCTCTATATTACTGTGCAGTAGGCAAGTAGTAAGGGGAGCTTGGGGCCCCCATTTGGTTGGTTACACGAGGCTTTGCCCCTCCCACCACCAAGAGCTCACATGCTTTATGCCACTGCACATGAGACAACAAAGAATAATAAATAACACAGCTCACTTTTTCACTTAAGTTCAAAGAAATCGGCGATAAAGAGGCACCAATAAGGTTAGATGTTCCCGGTAGGATCTCCACCACATTCAATCTATCAATACTACGCAACCTCTGCCCTGCCCAGTAGGCTAGTGGTGGTTTAATGAGGCGGCCTCTACTGGATGATGGCAGATCTTTCACACTTAGAGTTGAATATTGCCCATTAGATGCTGTTGGTAACAAAAAATACACTATAAATATTTAATGTAATGAAGATTTATAGTATCAATAAAGCAAGTTTGTATCAATGATTATGCTGCAAATATTCATCTGTTCATATTATTGTTATTACTTAGATACTAGATCAAAACCAGCAAAAAATGCAAATGTAAGATATAATTGATGTCCCCCAGCATGTAAATGGGTAAACATAAACGTCATAATCAAAAGTAAGATTCCAAAAATACTACCAATATTTAAAAATTAAAAGAAAAAACAACTCACAACTTGTGTTGGCTTTCTTACTTCCTCTAGCAGGATTCACAGGTGTTACATTCAATGGTGCTTTAATCACATGTGTCTTAGAGTCTGCAGGTGTCTTAGGGTCAGCGGGTGTCTTAGGGTCTGCATTTGTCTTAGGGTCTGCAGGTGTCTTAGGTTCAGCAGGTGTCTTTGTTTTTGCAGATGTCTTCGTTTTTGAAGATGTCTTTTTTTTGGCAGATGTCTTTGTGTCTCCAGATGTCTTTGTTTTTGCAGATGTCTTTCTGTCTCCAGATGTCTTCGTTTTTGCAGATGCCTTTTTGTCTCCAGATGCCTTTGCATCTCCAGACATTTTAGATTTTTTGTTTACTTTAGTTTTGACTGTAAAATCACTAAAATGAAAGTCAAAAAATGGTTACTGTCTGACCAATGCACATAATGAGCAACTAAAACCATAACGCTCTGTTCACACTATCCCGTTTCATGTGAAAAATGTGATTTGCCCATATATGGACATCAAGATGTCATATCACACCACCCACATATAAAGCAGCTGTTCAAAAAGGGGTTTTGACAATTTCCAGAATATGCCAATGGGTCTAGATCATGTGTCCTCAAAGGAACTGGGAAATTTTTTCTGAGATGTTTTAGAATGTATTATGTTAAAAAATAAAAAAAAAACAGAGAAAATCATTTTCTTCGACGAGTTGTGTGCAACAGAGCTTAATCATATATTCCCCTACTGGTTCCCCCAGGCCATAACCAAGTTCATGTGAAGTGTGGGGGGGGGGGTTTCCCTATTGGACAAGTTTAACTCAGTAGTAAACTGGTCAAGGGGGGTCTGGCTGAATCCCCTGGTTACAGGCCTGCCCTCCTCTTCCCACCATTTATACATCCGGATGGAGAAAGAAATATATGTGAAGTTCCTTGGACAGCATGGGATTAAAAATCATGACCTTCCATGCAAAATGCTCCTCATACCCAAATATTTACCAATCAACCTACCATTGGCTCTCATATTCTTCCTGCAGTAACTCCTTCCAGTTTTTTGGGAAACCATTTTTGAATTTCTTGATTTTCGTTTTTGAAAAACCTGCACCAAAGCAAACGTTACCAGTTAAACACACTAACTGCTGTCAACTAATATATTTGTCCAAAAATATGAGTAAGTACACTCGTCTAAAAGCAAAGAAATTTGGGTTTAAGATCTGTCTGGATTATCAAAGTTTCTTTGTTAAAAAAACTGTTGCATGCCCATATATAGTCATGATGTGCCTATATATGGTCATTGATGTCGTCTGGCAGTGCTCAGAGGATACATGCACTGTACACAATAAAGGTAAAGGTAAAAGTGGGAGAATCACCCCATAACTTGCAGCGTCATTGTGCTGAATTATGTATGGCGGTGGATTGTGACTACCTAGCAGCCGCAAAGAGGCGCTTCATGGTAGGTAAATGTTCCCACATCATCCCACAACGACAGAGGGCTGAAATGAACCATAACATCGGGGTAACCCCCTACTCTTCCGAAAGATGCAATGGGTTCAATAAAGTGCCCGCGAGCCATTGGACCTCCATTTTAAGTCCTTATCCAAAAAGACTTGGTTCTACCAAACAAACCATGGGCGAGGAGCGGCTGGTTGTGTCCAATTTGAATTGACACTTTGAGACTGTTTAAACATTGGATATTCAGAGTTTATCTCAGTTGTATCAATTACTACAGAAAGCAAAAAACAGTACATTCTCACCATTCTCTAAAGACATAAACTGATCTATGGTGCCAATGAGTTTGTATTCAGATCCTGAGCCAGTCTCCAGTTGTGTTGCAGTAATTCGTTTAACAATACCAGAACTATGCCAGTATACTTCATCATCATCCTCTTCACTAAAAAAGAGAATTAAAAAACAATAAGGTTCATTCTCATTTAACTATAGCCAACGAATAATCAGAAAATACAAATTTACAATTAAGGATGATAAAAACTGAATTATATAATGTTTTGTTAATTCTAATTTGTGAATTTTCATTGCTCTATTGTTCAATGTTACATTGTTTATTAGGCAGGGCACTGCAAGTTAATATATTTACATTTAATGAATATTCAACAATAAACATGCAATGTTCCTATTGGCTCATAAATACTGTAGGCATGATTCCCATTGGGTAATAATGTAGAATTTTTATTGGATTTAATTTGTTGGGATGCTCTTTTATATAATGATGGTTGGTAGAAATTTCCCCTCTATTCAGGTCAAACTGAATAATAACCGAATCAATGGTGGATACTTACAGTCGCTGGCCCTCCACGAAAACTCCTTTATTGTCCTTAACAGCCTTCAGGCACCAATTTCTTAACACTATCATAGCTTTACAGGGCTACAAAAAGAATAGGAAACATTATTATGAATAATAATATAGTAATGGATTTGAATAGCTCAGCGGTTAAGATGCCTGCATTCTGATCCCAAGGTCCTGGGTTCAATTCCTGTCACAACAGGTCTTTTTCCACTCCCTAAGCTTCATAAAGAGATTTAGTTTATAACGCATCATTCTCATCCTGAAGTGGAGAGTGCACTCGTTGTTGGATGTGAAGAAAAAAAAAATTAAATAAACAAATTAAAATAAATAAAAAACAACAATACTGTAATAATATTAAATAACAATAATATTTTTTTTATCACAATTATGACTAATATAAATTTTCACTGTATGCTGTCAAACAAGGCACATCCGAGGATGCAACTGGGGCATGCATCACTGGAATTTTGATAGAAAGTATCTAAATAAAGTATTACTGTACCTTTTCTGATGAAATTTTAGTTTCACACTCACTGACATTCTGTCCTTTTCTTTTTACTGAAATTATAAAAAAATAAAAACAATGTAGTAAAAAAAGAGATATTTTTTATGCTATCATATCTTACTAGTACTAGTGCAGTATGAGCACTTATAATGCGCTCCTTCCTTGAGGTTATAAAGCGCAGTTCTTTTCCCTGGTCATTGGGTCCACATGCTAAGTGTTGCTGCTGGTAATCAGCGCAGGAGCAAGCAACCCCACCAGGTACCCATTTATACTCCTGGGTGGAGAGAAGCAATGCAGATAAAGTGTCTTGCTCAAGGACACAAGCTGAAATGCACAGCGAGGGATTGAAACCCCGATATTGAGGCTGGGAAACCAAATTGTTCCCGCTGCTCCAAACCGCCACCACATATCTCGGTAGTAGTTGGTACACCAGTGACATTTCAAAATGAACTACTGTATCACAGCACTTCTTGTATATAGTGTTTCATCCAATAACCAAGGCAATAATATGAAGAAGCAGTGACCTGGTAGCCTATTATAAGTAATATATTTACAATACGTACTGTACAAGAAGGAGCTTTCGATTTGCACGATGTGACGCCAAAACGGATTCACTCATGCATGACCGTCCTACACTCTCTGCAAAATGTAGATTCGGCCAAACTCTATCCCAGAATCCAGGCGATACCGTTGTCATGCAATTGAAAGATCTCTATTGTTTCTGACAACTCCACACAAAAAGAAAAAAAAAATTTAAACAATAAAATGTTTACAGATTCTTACCTTTTCTTTTAGCTCGATTTAACTCCGTTTTATGTTCTGATTGCTCAATGTTAATGTCAACCCCTCCTACTTTTTTACTGTCATCACCCGTAGCACTTTCATTCAACTCAAATAGGTTTTTAGGAAGACTATTAACAGTTTCTAAAACACTATTCCATGTTTCAAATCCATTTTTTCCCTGATTTTTAAGATTTAAATTCCTTTCTGTGAGTTTGACTGTATCTGCCTTTTTTTTAATGGGTAATTTATGTACATTAACACCTGGTTTCCTCAATCGGTACCTCTTATTCAATTCACCACTAGTTGGACTGAGCTCTGCTCGGTCATGCATATTAGCAATCACGAGATCAGAAGTTAAATTCTTCGCAACACTATCCCTTAATAATAAGTCTGCAGATGATGAGGCAATTGCTTCATTGTAGTCATCTTCACGTCCTAATGGTTCTGATATCAGACTACCCTTCATACCATCTCGATCTGATGTACACAATGTCACTATGTTATCATTTGCATAATGTTTTTGTGAATCATATGATGTTTGGACGACACTTCTCTTCTGTTTGTTTTCTTCTGGTATCATATTTACTGATTGATTTGAAGATGACTTTGTATCTCTAGAATATTTCCTATGTGACGGTGTTGCAGGAAAGCCCATGTATGTTTCATGGTTTATCACTGGCTGGTTATCAATTCCATTTTCTGATATATTTATTAGACTATATACTCGTTCATCGCTGGAATTCTGAGTGACCTGAATTACGTTGGTTGGAGCTCTGAATTCTTCATAATCCTCCTGACTTTCCTTCACTGATTGAATAAACTTAGCCTTTGGAGATAAAACCTGATTATTTCTGTATCTGTTGAAATATGATGTTTTAAGCTTGTTCAATGCAAATTTTGGTTTTTGAAATTCCAAAAATGAACTGCTGTACTTTGGCTCAGATTTTACCTGATCCACGACTGGTCTTTTACTAGCATACAAATTCGTTGATTTGTTCAGAAACAACCTTGACTTTTCAGTGAGTTTCTACAGAGTAAAAATACATAAATAATTAATAATAACATAATCACTAATAATTTTTTACTTATTAAAATTTCATTACATTTTTTCAATCCAAATACTATATGGACTTGGAAGCTCAAAAAAGAAATTGAATGAATCAAGCAAGACAAATACCTTTGGATTTGTACTTTTCTGGAAAAGTTCTTCAAATGCATCCATTTTAAAGGTTTAGTATGTTTCTACTATTCTTGGTCATTATAGTAGTAGTACTGATTATTTTACTCTGTGAAAACAAGGTTACAAGAAGAAACACAATTGGTTTATGCTTTTTTAAAAATATTTTTTATAAAGTAGACATTTTGTGTTTACACATATATACATAACTACTACTACAAAACTTATATTGTAGTAGGCCTGTCAGGAAAAATTTTGTCCCGGGTCAAAATCAGTCCACCGCACCGAATTTGGCTTTAAAATTACCTGCTAAATGTAGTCCACATAAGCCAAAATCGGTCCGGTGTCTATTTAGTAGGTATAACTTGTATTTTTATAATGTTGTTCATATTTTTTTAAACCAAATGATAGATAAACATCTTAGCTCTCATTATATAATGATTTCATTCGTTATGTGTGAAATCATAGGTGAAATTAAGTAAAGATTCGCGCCCAGTAAACACTTTGGTGTAAGAGCACGAAAAGATGTGGTCTTAAATAGTGTTCTTTTTTTTGCATTGTTTTGTTTTGGTTGCTTTTTTTTTTTCATTTCATTTCATTTTATTTTATTTCAAACAACGCAAAAATACAATATAAAATTCTTCATAAAGGTAAAAAAATAACAAGTAATATTAACAAATTATTAAATTACAGTAAATAATAAGTGAAGATATAGTAATAACAATAGTAATAAAAAAATATAATATAATAATAATAAAGATAATAATAAAGATAATAAAAATAATAATAGTAGTAGCATTAATTGTAATCATAGTAAAAATAATAATAATAATAAAAGTAATAACAATAATGATAATGGTAATAATAATAATAATAATAGTAATATTTATAGTAATAATAAAGATAATAATAATAATAACGATAATAATAAAGATAATAATAATAATAATAATAATAATAATAATAAAGACAATAATAATAATAATAATAATAATAATAATAATAAAAATTGTGTTGTTGTGCTGAACGCTGCGACGAAGTACATGCATTAATTCAAAGAATTCTGACCCCTTTTTTAAAATGTATTAGAACATTGGATGATCTAATACCCCACACAATAATCTGGAATATTTAAAACTAATAAATCAGTCTTGTGTTTCATTTTAGGCCCAAACCTAGGCCTAACCACGATGCATGCTGAGTGTATCGATCGCCTAGGCCTATGAAATGCATTATCAGGGGGGTTTGATAAAACACGTACTCAAAAGCTTAATACTAATCATTCTGTCAGCTGCAAAAGACTTTGCAAGTGTGGGAGAAGCATAATACTAAATTACTTTAATCCACTCCACGGGAGAAACAATCATACTCTACGAGCAGCAGAGTTACAAGTGAAGTGGCCAGGCCGACACGGACCAATTTTATCCAAGCGGTACCAGTTTTAGCGGCTAAAATCAACCCAGGACCGATTTTAGTAGTCCATCCCACTATCCTATCAGTACCGATTTTGGCAGCCGAAATCTGTCCGCTGGACATTTTTTGGACCGGAACAATTTTGGCGTGACAGACTCTATGACTTCCTCTTTGACAATTAATAAGGTCCTACGAACACCACACGGACCACATACAACCACACAGATGCAAAAATAATTAAAATATTGCCAAACGAGAGTAGAAAACTGCCTAAAAATCAATAGTAAACAACTTTTAAAGTGATAGTTGACCGAATTATCGTAAAAATTGACTATTTTTTACAGGTTTTGCCACCGTGCTTCAGAAGGTAATGTGTTGACCTTGAGTATCTCTGACGCAATGAGGTCTGCAGAAAGGTGTATGTTACATTTCATCGAGAGAAAAATATGCAAGGCACAACACATGAAGGTTAATGAACTTAAAATTGTAAATAATAAAAAGGAAAAATAGTATTTGTTATTAATATTATTAATTTTGTATTACTGTATGTTAATGTTATAGTAATTGTACTATTTATTATTGGTGTATCATTATCACATACAGTAATTATTATTAATATTGTAATAGTATTGTAATGGAATAGGCCTTATCTATTTAAATTATGGGTATTCTAAAATTGAAAATTTTAAATAAGATTGAATTAAAGGCGGGTGTAACTCCCACGGAAGAGAAAAATTGTTAGTTCAGAATTCATTCCGTTATAGTATTATTATTAAGGATTTTTTTTTTTTTTTTAAATATTTAGTGTTAGAACAATTTAGTAAAGGAGATTTATGTCATGGAATGGGTACCATTTAAAAGTTGTTAAACATGTACTCAATAAATTAAACGAACCAAACGTATAGGGCTACTGATGATAGCTTGATTAAGATCTGGGTTAGATTGCCTTATCTGGGAAAGGCAGGTGAATCCATTTTACGTAGATGCTTAATTAAACAAAGTAAAGAAAATTTAGCACCTGTACAAAAATGTCTCTCACTTTACAGTATATCTACTAAAGATCAAACCCCTAAGGAATGTAGGAGCTCTATTGTTTATCATTTTAATTGTCCAGGTTGTAATAGTGATTATATTGGTAAGACAGATAGATGCTTAATATCTAGACTTAAAGAACATTCTTCACGATCTGATAGTTATAAATGATCATATACAAAATTGTGAGGCATTCCAAAATGTTTTAGGTTTACAAGGTATACTTGAAAATGATAGTGTAGCCTGTAATGTAAGTAATAAATTAGGTTTAATATTTTCTAATACTAACATTATTGACAGTTCGCAAAATTGGTCTATACTATTGTTTAAAGAAGCGTTTGCTATACATAGGTGTAGCATATTTGAGTATAGGCTTGCTACTATTATTGTTTATGTTATATGCTAATTAGTTGTACGATACGCGCGGAGCTAATGATATGCGAACGCGCGGATATACGTTGTTACATTAAAATGGTTGAGTTACAATAATGTCTTGTTGGACTGCTCTGTTGTTATCTGAGCGAATACACTACAACTGGCGACGAGGACTACATAAATCCACTTATGTATTAAACAGTTTTTGTCACTGATTTGCGAGGTATTAAACATATACATATTGTCAATATACACGATCTGTGTGGGCAACTCATGTAAAGTTTTGGAGTACCATCGCAGAACAACATAGTAAAAATGGCGAATGCACTGATAGGCAGAATCGACCCATTCGACGATACCAGCGAG